AAGCTGTTCATCCAGGTCGATCCAGGTTCGTCTTCCGCTCGCTTCACCGCCGTGCAGTACGCGAGGCTGACTTTGCAAGCTCGGCGTGCAGACGCCTTCGAATTCATCACCTCCCATCCCTCCCGCCTGGCTCCTGCTCTCGACACTCGCCCTTCCGCATCTCCCGCCTCTTCGACTGCACCTCCATCCGCCGACCTCGCGTTCGCCCTGTCGGTCCTCCTCCAGACCTCCTCCTTCCACCTCGCTCCCTCCGTCTCGAGCCAAGCCTGGCCATTCGTTCACGTCGAGCGGAACGCCAAGCTCGTCCGCGAGAAGCGGGAGAGGGCTTTGCTCGTGCTGGGTGCGGAGGAAGAGCTGAAGCGGATCACGCGGGGAGACTTTGATGCTGGCGAGGCGAGCGAGGAGAGGGGTGCGAAGCGGAAGCGGCGGAATGACGAAGCCGAGGAGAACGAGGTAGGTGCTGCGGACGAGAAGGCTGCCGCAGATGCGGAGTCGAACGCGGATGGCTGGCTCGCGAATGGCCTTGTCGAGCTGTCGGCCGTCTACGCCGAAGCCAAAACCGCCTCGTCCGCCGGCATCGCTTCGACCGCCGCCGCACCCTTTCTGCCTCCTCGACCCTCGACTCTCGCGCAACCCGCGACATCCCTCCAAGCGTCAATACTCGAACGAGCGAAGGCAATGATGCGCGAGAGGCTGCGGTAGCTCGAGGTGAAGGAGGCGGATGCACCGGACTTGCTCGACCTGGTCGGATGGATGCGGACGAGAAGCACAGCGTAGCGCGACTGCGGGGCTGTCCGCAGCACAGTCGGCGGGACGAGCGGATGTTGCAGTAGCAGACGACCTGTGGTATGATTTTTTTGTGCCTCCGCATGTCCCAAGCAAGGCAGCCGGCTCAAGGACGAGCAAGGGTGAGGTGAGGCAGACAATCGCGACAGGCCGCTCCTCTGCAGCGTTCTGCAAAGCCGAGCGGTCGTCACACTTTGAGTTGAGCCGGAAGGAGTCTCGAAAGCCTGCTTCGAGGACGAGGTAGAAGTGCACTCGGGCGGACAGCTCGCCTTTCCTACGTCCAGAGCGTCCTGACTTTGTACACTCCTAGTTGCAGCATTCCCAACTACATTCGAGCTTAGCACAGAGTCCACCGCTCGCCCTTGAACGCTCCGCCTGGCTCGCGCTGCCAGCGCATCTCGTCGCTAGCAGTCAAGGATTCGCGATACGCGACCTTGGTAACCTTGGTGCACTGCAAGGTGAAAAGCAGAATGACGAGACTGGGACCGAGGCAGGCAAGCTTGCGCGAGGAGAGGCGGGCGAGGGTCTCAGCGTCGCACGAAGTTGTAGTCGGATCGGCAGCCGTTTCGCGGAGAATGTCGAATCCCGAAAGTCGAAGCTCTTGCAGCGCCGGGAACGATTCAAGGAAACCGAGGAAGTGGTCGAACTCTTCCTGCGGGTCCAAATGCGTGAGCTTGCCGATGCATGCGGAGAAGAAACGCTCGCTACTCGCCGTTGGTGTCAAGTCGCCGTAGCCATCCAGAGAGAGAAACGTCACGCTTGGAAGGAGGAGCACCGGTTGCGTCCACTTGAAGGACTCGATGCGACATAGGGACAGCGAGCGAAGCGCGGAAGGGCGCAGGTTTCGAAAGATGTGATAAAGGTCGGTTTGGCAGAACTCGTTTTCCTCGGAGCTGACCTCGGTCGCTTGACGCAATGTTGGGAAAGCAAAGACAAGCTCTTCGAGAGGCAGAGCCGGATTAATCTGCGTCGGCGTTCGAAGTCAGCGGGGTGGAGATCGGGGGCGTCGGGCGTGTGGACGCACCGGTTCGCTCATGTAGGCCGTGAGAGACTCGATGAACTGAGCCGGCTCAAACGCCTCCATGTCGTCGCCAGGGTTGAGCTCGAGACGACGGACGCTGTGCCAAGGAATGCGGTTCCTTCCCATCGCGAAATGTTCAATCGTTAACCGCGTCAAGCGACCGAAGCCGGGTGCGAGGACATCGATCAAACTTTCGTCGTCTACCGCGAGATGGCGCACGAGCGGCAGGTCGCGGTCGAGGCGCAAACTGTCCCATGAGGCGGACCGCATGTAGTCGAGCCCGGACAGGCGGAGAAACCTCAAGCTCGTCAAGCTTTTCAGCGCTGCGACGAGGGGCGCGGAGTCGTTTGGTGTGAGAACCAATGTACTTCCAATTTCGAGCGTCGTGAGGTGTGAGAGCTTGCCGAGAGCAAAGCAAGCGAGGTGGAAGGTACTTCTCTGCAGGTGTATCACTGCGTGCCGGACCCGTTCGGCGTATTTCGGATGGGCGAAGAAGGCGGCTAGTATAGGATCTTGCACACGTCGGGCAATTGGACTGGTAGGGTCGGCCAAGAGGGTAAATCGGCTCGTCCAGAAGGGCAGCGCGATGTTGAAGATCCGCTTGTCGAGAAGGATGTATCGCAACGATCCGCGCAATCCTCTAGTGGTCCGAGAACGCGACTCCTTAGGCTCTGGTGCAGTTGGGTGAAGATGTGCTGGAGGATTCCGGTCGGAAGGGAGCTGAGCGACCTCGGAGCGGTCATGAAGAGTCCTGCAAGTGAGCGAGGGTGATCAGCTCACTCGCTCGGTACTCCAGAGCCATGGGTGAGCCAGTTGCGCACCTCGCGAGCCGTTCTGCGCTGGTGTCGCCTTTCCAGCATCCTCATCAGGCGAACGGGAGAGTCGGTTCGACGGGTGAGAGGATGGCTCGTCGGTCGGTGCGGCAGGGTTGGCAGACATTTCGAGGGTCGCAGAGAAGGCTGAGAAGCTTAGCTCGCCAGCAAGTGGCGATGCGACGCGACAGTGGGTAAGCGAGGAGGAGAAGGAGAGCTAGAAGGAGGCGAGAGATTACGCCTGGACTGCGCTCAAGCTCTGTAACGCATCTTACTCGTGCTAGAGAGCTGACGAGCGGGTCGCAACGGCGTCTGCCTCATCGAGAAGCAGAGCGGAGAATATTTCGCCTCGAGATTGTGCAACGCGCTCTTTCAGTATCAACCCATACGGCACCTACTACCGGAAGATGTCGCCGTCCTCGTCACTGCCCATGTCCATCGCCTCGCCGTCATCGCTGCCATCGAGGACGAGCGTCTCCGGCCCCACCTTCTTCTCCTCCACGACCGCGTCCACCGGCGCCCCATCCACGTCCTCCGCCGCCACCGGCGCACCATCGACGTCCTGGTCCACCGCCGCGCCATCGACGTCCTCGACCGGCGCACCGTCAACGTCGTCCTCCATGACCGGCGCACCGTCGACGTCGTCCTCGACAGGCGCGCCATCGACGTCCTCCTCCATCGCCTGTGTAGTCAGATCTGCCGCCGCAGGTTCAGGCTGCGCCGGCGCGAACGCAGCTGCCATGAAACTCGGCTTGAAGCCGGACTTGGCGGGCGCGGTTTCTTCGGGCAAAGGTGGGCTCGGTGCGGTTGAGGCTGGTTCAGACGCTGCTGGCGGCGGGAGGGAGGAGATGAAGGAGTCGACGTCCATTCCGGCGTCTTCTGTGACCGCCTGAGAGTCGGCTTCGTCTTCGGCAAGTTCGAGTCCGGAGAGCCGTCGCTTGAAGTCTTCGATGACGCTCGGTTCAAACAGCATCCAGTCGTTCGCCCAGACGTCGATGACCTGTGTGCCGTCGTCAGTGACAGTCAGGAGGGAGGCGAGAGAACCGGAACACACCTTCTCGATCAAGCCCTTGAACTGCTCCGCCTTCAACCGTCCGGGAAAGCTCAAGTAGATATCACCGAGGTGGTCAAAGACGTCCGGCAGCTTCGACTCGAAGACGGAGCGGTAGGTCCAGGCGTTTGGTACGGGCGCGGCCGAGTTGTGCAGGATGTCGGAAACGAGGTGGAGGCGGGCGAGTTTGCGCGGGACGGGTGTCGAGTCGATCGTGAGCGAGCAGACGAGGATGTCGGCGATCTGCACGAGAATGGGCGTGTCAGTCGCGGTTCGAGCAGGAAAAATAGCGAGGCGAGCCGCACGTAAGCAGCACAATCCGCATGCTCGATCGCAAAGGCCATCCCACGCGCAATCTTGTCTCTCGAGCTCGTCAAGCCTCGTAACAAGCACTCGAAGCGCTTCTGCGCGAGCTTGCCGAGCCTGCCCTTGCCCACCCGCTCGTCTTCGGAGCTCTCGGACGAGTCGGAGGAGTAGACGTCGGCGTTGCCCTGCAGACGACGTGCCTTAGTACGAGAAGTCGTGAGAGATCGAACGCGAACGCACCTCGTCTTCGAAGCTCGCAACAAGCGGAGGCGCGTAGTCGGGATCGACGAGCATGCGGAAGTAGTGGAAGCTCGGCAACTGCGCAGCCAACAACTCGTCAGCCTCCGCCACCGAAACGAAAAGACGCGCGACGCACCTTGTCGTCACGCAGGAACGCAAACTTGTGGTTTTCGCGCTCCTTGTCGCGCAGGATATCCTCGAACGTCTTGCCGTTATCCCGCACCTTCCGCGCAACCGTCACCAAGAAGCTCTCCGACACGCCTTCCTCCAGTTCCGGCCATGCGCGCGTTCCCTTTGGTCGAGGTGAGCGAGAGGATCGTCGGTGCTTCGAGCGGAGGAACTCGTGAGGGTCGTCCGGCGACTTCGAGCGCGAGCGAGACCGTGAGCGGGATTTGCGGTGGTGACGGGAGTGAGAGTGCGAGTGTGAGCTGGTGCCGCGCTCGCGGTAGTAGGACGAGTCGGGGTCAGGTTCTGCGGATCAAGTTTCGTCAGTCCCGGCGTTCTGAGACGCAACGGGCGACACTCACCGTAGATAGCGGTCGCCGGAAGCGGCACAGCCTTTCCCCAGCCGATCTTGAGCACGTTGTCGCCCCACTCTGCGCCGTCCATCTCCTTCGCCGCTCGCTCAGCATCGGGTCGTCGGAGGTAGGCGACGAAGCCGCCGAGCTTGCGTCCACCCGTCGTTGCGAGCTGACCGGTATCCAGGCGTGGCCACATGATCTGTCAAATGACGAGTTAGCGAGAGCGTCGGAGAGATTGGAAAGGATCGGTAACGCACCTTGATGCTGCCAATCGGCCCAAACTGCGCAAACATCTTGCCGAACGCATCTTCCGTGACGTTCGTCGGCAGACCGCCGACGTGCAAGTTGGTCGTCAAGGGGTCACCGACGTCGTACGAACCGGTGAGGACGGGTGCGTGCTCGCGAGCTGGAGCGGTAGGAGGAGTCAGCTAGAGGGAGGAGAAGCGCAGGTTGGTACGCACCTGCAAGTGCAGTGACGGATGCACCGACTGTGGACCGAGAGTAGGTCAGCCAAGAACACGCACAAGGAACAGGAGGACCGCCACGCACCTCGACCAGCCGTCTGCTTGAGGCGTTCTTCCCTAGCAGCCTGGTCCCTACAAGAGTCGACGAGGGTGACGTAGAAATCACACAGTCAATACGGAGGCGAGTCCCGCATGCGCATGCACAGGCGCAGAAGGGAAGGGAAGGAACCTCTTGAGCTGCTCGAGGAAGTTGTCGCCTTCTCGCTTCTTGCGGCCGAGCGGTCCGGGCTTGACGGGCATCTCGGGCTGCAAAAATCAGTGTCAGTCCAGCATTCGCCATTGCGAAGGCGGTCGAGACGCGCACCTCGTCGTCTCCACCCATCAGACTCGCCGCCGTTGGGCGCGCCTTTGAAGCCGGTCCTACCGGAGCCGCTGGCGCAGATGGCGCGCCCTGCATCATCGCGCGCGGTCCAGTCGGTATCCTCGGGCCCGTCGGTACGCCTGCCATGGCCGGCGCACTTGACGGCCCGGCCGACGCCGCTCCTCCTCGCGCGAGCGGGTTGTATTTCTCCGCTCCTCCCGCCCTGACGAAGCCCTTCCCGACCGTCTTGATGCGACTCGAGCCTGGCCGCGCCCCTGTCGACGGACCGGTCTCCTCGTCTCCTCCGAAAGCCTCGACGAACTCCCTGTACGCCCTCGCCGCCTCTTCCTCCTCCTTGCGCTGCCGCTCCGCCTCTGCCTCCTTCTCACGCTCGAGCTTCGACTTGCGCGGCTGGCCGGAGTAGCGGGCGATCTTGTTGGCTGCGACTTCGGGTGCGGCCTTGAAAGGCGACTCGTCGTCCGAGTCTCCGCCCAAAGCGAGGCGCTGCCGCGGGTCCATCGGTGTGTATGAGGCTGAAATTCCCGTACGGCGAGTCAAGCACTGTCGAGCGAGCGTTGTCGGCTGGTGAACCGGGGAAGGTGATGAAGTGTCGAGGGGATGAACGGGGAGAGCTGGGAGCCGCCGCTTGGCCAGTGAGTCCGGGTAGCCCTGGGACAAGCGATGCAAGCCTTGTCAACGCTGTCAGTCGCGAGTGAGGAGAGCGAGGAGGGCAAGCAGTCGAGCGACCTCCTCGTCGAGGGTCTGTCGCCGCCATCACGCTCCCTAACGCTCAAAGAGCGCGTCTGGCAGTGTGCAGGCTGTCTACAAGGCTGTTGCGTCCCCTGCTGTCGCCGCCGGCGCTCCTCTCGCCCTCCAGCACTCCCTCCCCTCCCATCCACACTATCCTCGTCCCTTGCACCGCGACTGCGACGGGCTCCTTCGAGACGTACGATGGACGACGCTGATGACCTCCGCGAGTCGGCAGCGGAGGCGGATAGCGCACTGCATCGCCCCGGCTGCCGCCCTCCAGACCAGCTGCGCATCGTCCTGGCACGCTGGCACTGCTTCGAATGTTGATGCACTCAGTCACTCGCCGAGTCGCTCAAGGAAGACGGAGGACCGTCGCCGCAGCCTGTCTAGTCTGGGAGCTACGAAGGCTGCGACTTCCGCCGCCTCGACTTGAGCGCCACGACTCCCTCACAGACATTCTTCGCCCAACTCTTTCAGCCATTGACACTCTCCATCCGCATGTTCCCTCAACAGACGATCGCATTGCTCGACTCGCGATCGTACCAGCCCGTCGGTCGTCCCCCATCCGGTCACAAGGCTGTCGTCCACCATCATTCACTTGCAACGGCGTGTCCCTCGTATACCTTCCATCTCAGCGGGCAGGCGGGGACGTAGGTGCCAAGAACGTTGCGACGCGGCAAGCTGGGGAGCGTGCGAGCGAGAGGGACGGGAGAGGAAGAAGCAAGGGCACCGGTCGAGCAACGAGGACAGAGAGCTGTCGAATCCTCGGTCACTCGGACAACGGAATGCAGGCGCTTCAGCGAGTCTACAGGGTGCGGCGCCCGCAACGTACTCAAGCGGACGGTGCTCGTGTCGTCGCAGAGTTGCTGCCGGCAAGGAGGAGGAGCGGGTCGTGTTAGTGGCAGCGGGGCATCGACAGGAGCCCACTAGGCGTTCACACAACTCTGATGCACGGTCTCAGCAAGCCTAGTCCGCTCTAGCAAGCGGGAAGGTCGCGATTGAGGACCAAGAGAGGGAGACTCGCTCGTTTGCCCTCGTCTACAACGCCGCTCTCGCTCGAATGCTCCATCAAGGCGCTCAATCGCTTGCTAGACTGTCAAAAACTATGCACAAGCGACTCGCCTCCGCTTCTTGCCGTCGTGGAACTCGGCCTCATCTTCTCCGAGGTTGAAGCAGGTCGCTGTCGCCATGACGGGTCGGGCGGGCGCGCAGGAGTCGCGGAGTAGGAACTCGCGAAGTCTAAGAAGCGGTGGAGGCTGCCGCTGACCGCCTCGAGCGCAGCCGGAGGAGTGAGGGGTGCGACTCGGTTGATACCTTCGACGGAGGACCGCTTCAAGCGCAAACGGCGTCGCTGGTACTCGCAGGACTGCCCTTCCGACTGCTGTGAACGACTCGCACTGGACGAAGCTTCCTGCCTCCGCCTCTCCGACGGGATCGGTCGACTTTCGCCTCCTACTTCCATCGAAGTCGGAGCTGTCGCGCATGGCGGCCGCCGGGGCGCTGTCGACGGGTGTTCGACCACTTGCATGAGCGCTTAAAACTATCACAAGGGCGCTGGAGCAACTGCTCAGCTTGTTCAGGCTGGATCTATGCTGTCTCAAGGCGGTCAGAGCGACCTTCGCCTCCTAACTCGCCAGCGGGATCGGGCGGGATGACTTGGGGTCGGTAACGACGACAGTTGGAGGGTCACGACTTCGTGCACACGCGTTCCCTGATCAGCTCGAGCGACCTAACCGGTTCGCTTCCTCCACGACGACGCCGCCGTCAACGAGCGACGCGACGCTCAAGTCGGCCTACGCAGAAGTCAATAGGAGATGCGATCGTCCCACGGTGCGGGGACAGCCTGGCGTCGCAAAATGCGCGCTCGCTCTCTTTCCTCTCTCTCCCTCCTTCTCCCTCCTTCATACCTCACTCTGCCTCCCTCCTTCCCTCCCTTCACTCCGCCTCACCCTAGTCGCCTCTACTCGCCTCGCACTCGATGCATCACCGCCCAGCCCTCGCCATGGCGGGCGCCCTCCTCGCCGTTCCGCTCGGCTTACAGCTCTCGACGTCGACCTCGCTCGTCGCCGCCTCGTCCGCTCACCACGTCGCCGGCTACTACCAGCAGTGCGGCGGACACGGCTGGCACGGAGCTACCAAGTGTGCGTTCAGGCCCGAGCTTCTTGACGGCCTCCGCTCCCGGTGCTGACCCTTTCCTCCTCTTCTCCGCTTCCCCCTCCCTTCCTCTCTCTCCAATTCTCTTCCGCCTCTGCCCTATCCTCTCACGCTCTTACCGACGTCGTCTCCTTCCCCTCGCCGTAACTCAACAGGCCCGAGCAAGTGGGCCTGCGCCAAGCAGAGCGACTGGTTCAGCCTCTGCAAGCCGATCCTCGACAATCACGGCTGCACGAACGACGAGTACGCGCAGTGCGGCGGCATCGGCTTCAAGGGCGAGAAGTGCTGTGAGTTGTCGCTTCTTCTCGTCGGCGTTTCGCCTTGCTTCCGCTCGCCAAGTTCTCCCTCCTTCTTGCTGACCTTGCTCGCGCTGGCTCTCACAGGCAAGGTCGGCACGACGTGCAAGAAGGACTCGGACTGGTGGAGCGCTTGCGCTCCCGTCAAGCACACCTCGAAGCCGCACCCCTCGACTTCGACGAAGCACACCACGACCAAGCCTCACTCGACGACGAAGCCTCACTCGACGACGAAGCCTCACTCGACGACGAAGCCTCACTCGACGACGAAGCCTCACTCGACGACGAAGCCTCACTCGACGACGAAGCCTCACTCGACGACGAAGCCTCACTCGACGACGAAGCCTCACTCGACGACGAAGCCTCACTCGACGACGAAGCCTCACTCGACGACGAAGCCTCACTCGACGACGAAGCCTCACTCGACGACGAAGCCTCACTCGACGACCAAGCCTCACTCGACCACCAAACACTCGACATCGAAACCGCACTCGCCGACTCCGCCCCCGCGCGCTTCCGTCACCAGCAAGCTCGACGAACTTCGCCTCTCGCCCGAGTGGGACCTCAACGCTCCGCCTCAGAAGCGCGAGTACTGGTGGGAGGTTGCCGAGCATCCCGGCGCGCTCGACGGCTGTCAGTCGCTCAGCTCTTCTCGCTTCGCCGACGGCCTTGATTGACTCCTCTTTCGTCTCCTCTTTCGTTCTTCCTCGCAGATGACCGCCCCATGTGCGAAGAGTCTTTTCTCCTTCCGCAAGACGACTTCTCTCACACACTGCTCCGCTCGCAGGCTTGTCGTCAACGGACAGTACCCCGGTCCGCTCATAGAGGCGAACAACGGTCCGTCCTCGTTTCTCCTTCCGCTTCGTCACCTCCGCAAGCTGACCCAACTTCTCGCAGGCGATACCGTCGTCGTTCACGTCACGAACTCGCTTGACGAGCCGGTCACGATCCACTGGCATGTGCGTCCAGCTTTCGCTTCCTCTCACCGCGAACGTGCTTTGACTGCTTCTCCTTTCATTGCGACAGGGTCTCTTCCAGAACGGCACCATCTGGGAAGACGGTCCTTCCGGCGTAAGTCGCCTTTCTCTTCCTCTCTTCGCATCTCCCGCACTCAAAGCGCTCGCTCGCTCGCCAGGTCACCCAATGCCCAATCGGACCCGGAATCACCTACACATACGACTTTCCGATCACTGGCAAGGAGCAGTACGGCACTTTCGTGCGTTTCCTCCTTCCTTCTCCCCCTCGATCTCGTCAGCCCCTCCGCAAGCTCTCACGCCGAATCCCCTCCGCATCCTCTCTTTCCGCTTGTAGTGGTGGCACGCTCACCGCCGCGCGCTCTACATCGACGGCATCACTGGGTTCGTCTCCCTTCTCTCGCTGAGCCAACGCAGACCTCGCCAACGCAGTCTACCCTATCGCGCAGTCCCTTCGTCATCCACTCGGAGAACGACCCTCTCAAGCGCGGGCGCGACTTTGACATCGACCAAGTGCGCCGCCTTCCCTCCTGACTTGCGAAGGTCACCAAGTTGACCTTTGTCCTCGCCCCTTGACAGCTCGTCCTCCTGCACGACCACTATCACCGCCGCAGCGACGAGATTGTGGACGGGCTCCTCTCGGCTGGCGGCTTCAACGGCGTGCGTCTCGCTTTTCCGCCCGAGCGACCCATTCTGCTGACCCTTCCGTTCCCGTCCCCGCAGAGCTTTGTTGCTCCTTCCCCTCAGAGCAATGTCATGAACGGAGCCGGTCTCTATGACTGCTCATTCGCCGCCGCGAACGCGACTTGCCGCCAGAAGACGCAGCGCGACCTTCCCGAGCTCCGCTTCCCGCCCAACCAGCGCGTCCGCCTCCGCTTCATCAACGAGGGTGCTCATCGTGCGTTGCTCTTTCTACCTTCGATCCAGCGGCGTCGAGCTGACCATGCTCGCCTCGTCAAAACAGCCCTCCAGTTCGTCTCGGTAGATGAGCACGAGTTGACCCTCGTCGGTGCGTCCTCTCCCCTTGGCGCGCAGTGGCACGTCGAGTTGACCGTTCTTCCGTGGCTTGCTGCAGAGGCCGACTTCACGCCGACCATGCCGCTTCCCGTCCACCGCATCCCGATCGTACGCTCACGGAGCCGCTCAACTTTGTGCGCACGCTGACAAACGTCGCTCGCTCGCAGGCTATTGCCCAGCGTTATTCGGCGATCCTGGACACCTCACGCGACAAGACAGGCGACGCCTTCTATCTCCGCGCGCAGATCAACACGGGCTGCCTTGGTTTGTCGAGCTTGCCTCTCCTTGCTCTCGACGATGCTGACCTCCATCCTTCGTCCTTCATAGGCCTGCCCTTCCCCGACCTCGACCCGCAGGCTCGTCTCGTCGTTCGCATCGGCGAGGACTGCGACGACTTGGGCAATGCGCTCCCGACCTCGGCCGACTGGAATGACCCTTCGGCTGGAAACTGTACCGACCTCGACGCGGGTGAGCGGCGCTCCTCCTCGCAACGCGGGGCACTCGAGCTGACTGCCCGTCGACTCGCGCAGCCAACCTTCACCCTCGCATCCCTCGCGACGCTCCTTCGTCCGCCAATCAGGTCCTCGTCTTCAACTCTTCCTTCGCGCTCCCGCAAAACATCTTCAAGTGGACCCTTAACGACCAGACCTTGTGCGTCTCCGCTCTCGTTTCGTCGAGACCTGAGAAGCACGCTGACCGCTTCCTTCTCGTTTGCAGCGAGAACTTCGCCTACGACCCGCTCCTCCAGCGCGTGGCTCGCGGCGAGAGTATCCCGACCGGTCGCGTCGCCGTTGTCACCGCCGGCCACCTCGAAGTTGTCGACCTCGTCATCCAGAACATTCAAGGCGCCGACCACCCCTTCCACCTGCACGGGCCGCAGATGTATGTCCTCAGTCGGGGATCTGGCTTGATCACGCCCGAGTCCGTCGCCTTTCGCTTTCCTCGTTCCGCTTCAGTCGTCTGACCCTGCGTCTCTCGTCCGCAGACAAGCATCTCGTCTCCACCACAACCTCACAAACCCGATCCGCCGCGACGTCATCACCGTCTCTCCCGGCACCTGGCAGGTCGTCCGCCTCATCGCCGACATTCCTGGCGTCCACGCTTTCCACTGTCGTCCGTTGAGGTCTCGCTTGCTTCTCTCCACCTTGCCGTACTGACTCGCTTCCTCCCGCCGCAGACATCTTGTGGCACCAGATCCAAGGTCTCCTCGGCGCCCTCGTCATCGAGCCCGACGTGATCCGGACGTTCCGAATCCCCCAGGACAACCTCGCAGTGCGCTTCGTTCCTTTCCCCTCGTTCACCTCGTCGCTCACGCTCTCGCTCGCCTCGAGCAGCTCTGCAACGGCGGCAACGCTTCCGTCATCGACCCCGGACGCAAGCGCTCGCTCGCTCGTCCTGCTCTTCCCGCCGCGCCCGCCTTCACCGGCGGTTTCGTCAAGGCCAACAAGCGCCCGTCGATCTGGCCGTGGTAGATGTGCGTATCACTCTCCCCTTCGCTCCCCCTTGCAGCTAGCTAACCGGGCTTGCTCACGCTCTCGCAGTTTGCCGGTCTTTCCTCCTCGCTCACTTGCATCCCGCATCAATACGCTTTCTTCTGTTGTCCATCCTTCGCATCTTTGCGCATTCCCTCGGTTCGACTCATCACGCTCGTTCTCGCGCCCGCTCACTTTCCTCTGTAGACATTCGCATTCTTCCCTGAAACCGACGTCGAGTCGAACTTCTCCCTTGAGCTTCCTCGTCTCGCCGCTCTGTCTGCCGTCTCGGCCATGTAGCTTGTCGACAGCGAAAGAGTCCAGCGGCCTCGCGCTTCCTGCGTGTCGCAAGGAAGCGCAACGCGCCCGGAGTTTCAGCTCAACTCGTTGGTCGGGACTTGCTCGCTCGTCAGGACGTGCTCGCTCTTCGCAGAGCGCAAGAGGAAAACTGCGACGCTCACGCTTCGAGTCTGCAAGCGAGTCTCGAAGACGATCTCAAATCGCTCTTTTGCGTCGCTCGGGAAGAAGCTCTACAACAAGAGTTGAAGTGTCTTTCGAAGGAGTGTGTGTGACAAGCAAAGGACGTGTGCGAGGGGTATTGGGAGGAGACGATGAGCGATGGCGGAGGCTGCGAGTGAGCGGAACGAAGAGAGTAAGCGACGCTGCGAAGGAGCAGAGGGAGAGGAAACGCACCTCGGAATCAGTGCTTCGGCTCGCACATCGACCAGCCAACATTTTGGTACTTGCAAACGTAACCGGCGCCGCCTGTCGAGCGGGAAAGAGAGAGGGAAGGAGAACGGAGGCTGTCAGCGAAGGTTCCGCGAGGGCGGAGAGTGAAAGGCAGCGTACAAGTCGTCGGCCCGTGCCATCCCTTTCCGCCACATTGTCCCCAAGCCGGCGCGGTCGAAGGGTAGCCGGTCGGGTAAGCGCCGTAGGAGGTGGTGGAGGTGGAGTGAGGGTAGCCGCCCTTCGAGGTGGTCGAGGTCGAGCAGCTGGTCGTGGGCTTGTGTTCCTTCTTGCAGTAGCCCTCGAAGCAGACCTCGCCGTACGAGCCTGCGCGAGAGAGAGAGAGAGAGCGAAGAACAACGTCAGCTCGCGATCACAGAGCGGAGGAGGCGAAGGTACGAGCGCGAGAATGAGGAGTGAGGAGAAGAGCGCGAGAAGGAGCGAGAAAACGT